CCAGAATATTTTCTTGCTATTCTCTGTCTTTTCATGACAGCATGAAAATTCAGCATCAGAGAGATTAAGCCTGAGACAACAGACAAAGCTTTTTGTAATCTGAATTTATTCACAGAGCAGGGGCTGCCAGGTACAGTGCTGTGGATAACACATCACATAATTAAAAACTCTATGTACACTAAGGTCTGAACCGAGCTTTACCATGGGAAAAACAATCTTTGTTCTTGGATATTGCTGTCCACCTTTCACTGAACTTGAAAAAGAAATTGTATCATTCAGTTAGCTTGAAATTAAAATATGCTGGGATGCTACATCCCTACACGTGCAACTAGTACTGCTTGCTTTAATACAATTATACTGGGACCTACAGTAAGAGGGACATAAAACTTAGTGCTCAGTTGACATTTATTTCTTGTTATTTCAGCCTTGTGATCTACTATTTCTATGCTGTTCTTCAACTGCCATTTGAAGTACAGAGTTTTTGAAAGCTTGAGTTAACAAAACCCAAAACCTGTTTTTGAAAAGAGAATAAAAAGCTTTTCAGTTCTTTTAAAACTTTTTAGACCATTGTTATGAACGGTTAGAAGTTCATCCTGTTTATAAAAGCAGTTTCATAATTTTTTCCAATTGTAGATGAGATTTTCCTGAATATAAGGCAGTTTTTTCAAACCCAGTGTTTGAACCATCCATCTGTGATTCCAGTTCTCGTTTGGTCATGCAGTTCTCTCTTTTGCACCCATAAACTGAACACCACAAGGATCTCTGGGGTAAAACATGAATTAATTAAAAGCAGTTGCAAATGTATCATACAATTGTGACCACATTGCTTAGAAGATTTTGACTTAAAAGAGGTCAGACAGGGCATATTTGAAGAGTAATGTTGGCTGTGCTGGAGAAATTTGCTTGTGACAGAATTAATTACATTCTCTTCAGCCTGGAACATGTTATTAAAACGGGTGAGGAAAAGATGAGCGGTAAAAGAAGGGTATGTGTGGTGCATGTATTTAACCAGGGTAAGGAAGGACTAGTAGGAAAAAAGTTTTGCCTTCACATTGCTGCAGGATTTTTTTTATTTTATTTTTTTTGTACAGACAAGTGGAGAAAACCAGCTGTGAAATGTGAACAAACATCATTCTCTGGCCTTGTTTTGTGTCCGCTAGTTGTACAGTTTCTGGAGTTATAATATGCAAATATGCAAATACAAACTCTCATGCTGTTTTGTCTCCTGGTTTCTGAAAGAACAAAGCAGTCAGTGTGATCTCGTGAAGGTGGACAGGAAATACCAAGTGCAATAGCATAAGAAATTATCCTGCTGTTTTTATAAATATTTAATAGGAGAGAGAAGGACACGTTCCTTAGTAACAAAGCCTGTGAGGCTCATAGGTCAGTGAAGAGATCTCATTCTTCCTACTTATTCATGAGGTTTTTTTTCCTAACTTGTGTTTTCTGAGAGCTGATCTGGCTCAAACTGTAGGATATCTTCACTTCGGAGAGGTCCCAGTGACTGAAGTTTGAGCCAAGGGGAGACACCTGGTTACCCACTCCAAACAAGCTGCTATGTGAGCTGTGCCTATTTGTGGAAAGTTACAGCAAATGGAAAGGGTGAGATCACTTTGATGTAGAAACTGCCCAGAAATACTCAACTGTCCTTTTACGTGCTTGTTCCTGTTGTTTCCAGCACTGTTGTGTAAATGTTAACAGTCTCTTAGAGCAGTGGAGAGCTACTTTGTGCATGTGGCTGTTCCGACAGAAGGAGTGGTGTGAAAAGCAAGAAAAATGAAAGTGAGGGCAAATACCTGAGGCAAAAGGACAAGATCTGAGAAGGTTTCACAGAGGTTTTGAGGAGGGGTAGCTGATCTTTCAAGTACATATCCTGAGAATCTCTGCAAGCTGAGTGGATTATCCAGTTGGTGAAATGTTTTATAAGATGTTCTGAAGAAAAATCTTTCCTGAAGCAAATAAACCTGGAAGAAGTTGCTTTTCCTGCTCCCTACTTTTCTCCAATTGTACAATAGTTCTTTAGCTTCTGAGGGCACTTCTTTTCTCCTCTGTCCCCAGATCCAGAACTGCAACCTGTACTCCAGAACCTTGTGCTGTCCCATGTATGTTTGACATCCCCACTCTCCGCCATAAAACCTCACTCCAGCTGTCACATGAAACCAGAGGCTGCAGAGGAGCTGACAAGGATGATATGTAAAAGTGATGAATGTTTAGGATGATACATATTGTTTCCTGCAGTAGAAGATGGCTCTCCTGGTTTATATGAGAAAATCTGAGACCTCTCAGCAGTATTAGTGCAAGCAATAAAATTTCTTGCAGCATAATATCTATAGGAGGAGCAACAGTTTTAACCTCAAGCAGTATTTCTCAATCCCTTTTAACTCAACACCCACGGAAATTTTTTGGGGAAAAAGGACCTTCCTCAACACTGTTACTATAATGCACAAGCAATAACATAATAATTGGAATAATAAATAAAAAATTAAGTAAATTTTCTTAATTTTTTTTTCTTGCTTAGTTTTGGGGATGTGTCTGTGTACTGCAGTTACTTTGTGTGCCATCGACTGAGAAACTTGTGTCTAAAGGACTGCATTTTCTTTGCCAGTATCAACTGCTAATCTCTTGCATATTAATTTGTTATATAGTATCAATGGTTGCCACTCAACTTACCCTTTGATCCATAAGTAATTGTCAAATGCTGAAAGCTGCTGAGTATGCTTGCCATCTTTCTTGAAAGTCACACTAGCAGAGTTGCTATAGGTGCTGGAAGTTATTTCCTGAAGGCAGGCACTGAATGGCAAAGCCACAAGCAGCATCGTCCAAGGGCTTTCTTCCACAGGAGATTTGGATAAATGTGAAGGGGCATTGATTAGATGTCCCCCCCCTCCCTCAGGGAACTGGCAGAAAAGCAACAAAGAACCAGCACAGAGGCAGATGCTGAGAGAGAGGGCAGATTAACAGGGCTTGTTGGGGCACGGTCCTGGTTGTAAGGTCAATTGTGAAGGGAATTTCTTGCCACACACAGTGTCTGACCCTCGGTCCCCCTGTTCTTTTCATATTAGCACCTTGCAGTGCAAGTCCCCATCATGCAACTCTCCTTGGAAGCAAGAAGAAAAATCTTCCCCGAACAGGGAAGAAAGGCATGAGTCAGACTTCTGGCCACTGCACTTTGTACGTGGCTAATTGTCACGTTGCTACTTTAGCAAAACAGATGTCCTCTGTTAGCAGCTTAATGCAATTAGTGCAATACTTCAAAAGGTTGCTGTGCCTACCATCATACTGGAGATTTAGGAGTGTGTGTTTGATGGAGGGTTATTAAGCTTCTGTGCTACTGCTTGATTTTTTTTTTTCCCTTAAGACATATGAAATCAAATACAGAAATGTCACCTAAATCTTTCTCCAAAGTATTTTTGGAGGCTTATTTAGGTTGCTAAGTCAACTTCTCTAACCTGAAATGTTACAGAAAAGAGCCTTGCTTGAGAAAAAGCCAGTGAGGAATGATGGTATAATTGAAGACTCTGAACTGCCAGTCACATTTTCTGGTTTGGTCAGAGGATGTGTTATTTTCTTGTGGTTACAACCCATCCTGTGATCCCCTGTAACATCCATGTGGCTGCTTCTATCTCAGACTTCCCTTGGTTTCTACCTCCTGTTGCTTGATTTCTATTTGCCACACCTTAATTAAAGACTTTGGGGACTTGTAAATACCTGACTGCAAAGGATTTACAATGGGAAGCATAAGGTGGAGATAGGTAATGGGGTTAGTCCAGCTCCACTTACACTAATCTGGGATAATGTATTGCTGCAAGTTGAGTGTAGTAATTAGAATACATTATTGAGTTGTGCTGATTCTGCCTTTCATGTTTTGCATTTAAATTCCTACCATGTAAATGTAAGAGTATTAATACTTGCCTGATTAGCAAGCCTGCTCCGTTATATATTTTAAATATAAATAATCCTGTAATGCTGTGTAATTTCTTGCCTTCATATGTAGGCATAGATATCTTTGCCTTCACAGTTCTAAAACGTAGTTAATAAAGATAAAGCACCCCGAGATACTTGATGGAGTGTGAACTAAAGAAGGGAAATCATTGCTTATTTTTAGCATTGCAAAAAGTACATTGGAGTTATAGGTCAGTGTTTGTATCTTGAGGTGTTTTGTTGGGTTTTTCTTTAAATGCTGGTTTAGAAGAATACACATTGTAAACTGCTGGATGTCCTTTTGAATGCATGAGTTGTTTAAAGACAAAGACAGGGTGGGGGTCATACTGGTCTTGTAATCTTTTAGTCTCACAGCCCTTATTCATTAGCTTGTTTTGTTCACTGTTGTACATTATTGCAACCTTCTCAGCCTTTCTTTGTCTCCAAGTCTTCTCCTATTTTAAAATCTGCTTCTCATTTTGCAACCACTGGTACATACACCTGCATCCCTTTAAAACTGTGTTTCTTCTCCATGTGCTTATTCCCTTCGAGCTTTCTCTTGCATATGGCTTTTCTGGAAGCTGTGGGGTTTGTATTGCTTTGTTGTTTGGGTTAGAGGGCCACATTCCTGCCTATGTTTTTCTGGGCCCATATCTGCTAAGCTTACTATCTGCAGTCAACCTGGTGAAGAGCATGCCACTAGTGAAACGTTCATCTGCAGTGTTCCCTGCTCGGTAAGTTGGATCTAACCATCCTAAGTCAAGATCTAGCTCAAATATTATTGTAATTTTTTGTGCTGAAAAGATGTAGCTATGCTAAGTCAGTCCTTGGAGCTGGTGCTTTCAGTTGAGAATGACTCTCTCTGCAGTATGCCTATTCTGAACACAAAGACAGATTGACCAGGTCATTTCAGACTTCTGAGACCTGAGTGGGAGGGGAATACCATCTTCAGAGGAGTCCTCTCATATTTGGGGCTATTTTGAAGTCAGTCTCTTTGTCCTGGAAGGTGCCCATTGTTCTGCTTCAGAGTTTGTCTGTCCCTGGTGTGTCTGGACATGCTTGTCCTCTCTTGGTTAGGCATGCCGAGGTATGTGTCCTCCAAATCCTCTTTTGCTCCTTCACTCAATGAGATTGGCTATGGCCCTCATTAGTCCTTGGCCTACGTATAGCTGAGGCAGGTTGTGTGCTAAGACTTCTGTATTTCTCAGCGCAGAGCTCCAGGAGATTGCATCTAACTCTCAGTCTTCCCACTTTCCTTGGGACAAACTACTTTGTGTTGTGTGGCTTTATATTTGACTGCACTGTAACTGACCCTATGGTTGCCATCTCTGTCAATGATCCATCTTCCTGAGTTTCACTATTCTCTCAATCTTGAGATTTGCAAGCTTTATAAACAACATTTGTAGTTTTTCTTAAATTAATGGTTTAAGGTAACTGAAAAATGTATTAAATAATGTAACTTCAATACTATTGCTTTATCAACCAGATTTGTAATATTTTCAAATAAAGAAAATGAGTAAATTTGTCTAATCTATTTTATGAAAGAGATTGGTTTCTTTAATCTGTGAGATTTTAAGACTGTAGAATGAATACCCTTCAGTATGTAATGCTTTTTTTGGTTATTCTTAGGGTGAAAAACACAGGCAGTCAGCTACTGTTCTTCCTTTAACTTTGCCTTGTTGCGTTCCTTTATCCCACGTACAATGATACCCTAGAGCTTTTTAACTCGTGAGTTTTGCTAATTGTTGTGAACTTTTAAGTATCTTTATTTTGGTACCTAAATATGCTTCTCGCAGACATTTCTGAAAAGATGGTATTTATGGACTTTGAACTTCTATTTTTTTCCCCACAGGTCTGTACGTCCTCAGTTAGTCACTAGCAGCAATAGCACAGTGCCTATTGTCCTACAAAAAGGATCCTAATGTAAGAATGATGATTTCAGCCTGGTTTGTAAAAACAGAAATCTGTTTTTCTGTGAGGCTTTAGCATCTATCTTCTAACATCTTTTTCATTTGTCTTTTCCTGTTGATCTTCTTAACCCCTTGGGGGATTTTGTTTGCATACTCAGGCTTGTTATGCAGAAATGATGGACATGATCTCAGGTACTTTGCATTTTCCTGCACCCTGAAAAATTTATCCATCTATTCCTTACATAGAGGAATCATGCAGGTTCTGGTAAATTCAACCAGAGAATGTCAAGTTACTCTTCTCTTCGGTAAACTCTCTGCAAGAAAATTTCTTGCAGCAATTGGATCAGGGATGCCAGACCCATTTCTGTTGCCTTTCCTCATTTTTATTTTGGACATTAAGGTCACATACATATTGTTTTCTTCTCACTCATTGTGCCACCTCAAGTCCAGCCTTAATGCTCCCAGATACTAGGCACATTCCAGCTTGTGAATTTTCCAAGTTTCTGAAGGTAATTGTGGGTGATGAGTTAAAAAGCATAGCAATGTATTGTGCAATTTCAACTTCTAAATACTATATATTTGAAACCTCACTCAAAGCAATTGACTGCTACTTTGTTCCCAATCTATGAACAGTTCTTGTGCTTTGGAGATCCTAATTCCTGACCTTCTCTCTTACCAAATGTGTTACAGTTTATTCTTAGTATTTAAGTATCAATGTCCCAGAGCTGAAATTAAACACTTGCTTGCTCAAGGATATCAGGACCATGCTTGTTTTGCAAGTGTTATACTAATATTTCCAAAACTTAATTCACAGCGTGCTTTTATGTTTGCTAAAAATCTTACTGAAACTTTGGCTTCCTGATAGCTTTCATTAAAACTTGCTCTTCCTGCCCTCTGAGTCCACTTCTTTGGACTGCTCTTTACCTGGGTTACTGTCTTTTAGGAAAACTGAGTTTTCTGTCAAAAATATAAACCCAGCAAATATAGCTGATAGTGTGTCCAGAAGAGGAGACATCAGACAGGAACAAATCCATGCCAACACAAGATCCCTCAGCCTGGTTTTGTTTCCAGTATAGCTTATCCAGTGACATCAGGCACTGGTGTAAGTAAGTATTTGTGCATCTGGGTTTCAGACAGTTGGAAAATTCTGAAAACAGTGAAAAAGCAAAGGTGATGGTAACATCTGGCAGGATAAACTGTTGGTCGGCTCATTTGGCTTCATCCTGCTTCTGACACTGGTGATTTGATTCCAGTTAAATCTGACCCATGTTCTGAAAGAGGTGAATTCATTTACTGATGTCAAAATTCTACACCAAGTATGAAATGTCTAAAACTAAGCAATGGAATATTGACCAGAGAAGTGATGAATATGATTGTGTTTAGTCTATTCATGAAAGTTATGTAATTCAGCATTTCTTCTGACTTCAGCTATCTGCACAAAACTAATTTTCTTCCATTTTTTTTTTTCCAAAATTTTAAACTGGATATTTTGGTTTGAAGAAACAAATTGTTCTGATTTTATGTTTTGCTGATTTCAGCCTCATAAAACCTGACTTGCACTGGTTTTAGCAAAGCCCTGGAGCCCACCTCAGCCTGCTTCCCACACATGCTGCCCATAATGTCTTGTTAGTTTTGCACAGATAAGATCATAAAAAAATACTTTCCCTCTTTACTGTATAATGGAGGTATGTAGGGACCTACAATAGCTGCAAAGTTTGGCCAAATGAAGGAGGTGGACTGATACCACTGAGTCGCGTTACTTTCTTAATGTTGCCAGGTTTGCAAAATACTACATTTATGTAGGTGTTGGAGGGTAGGGCAATTTCTTGTTTGGACTTGTACTTCATTTTTAGTGAAGACACTTTCTTTTTGCAATGCAAGATAGGATCCTCTGGTGATTGACACACAGTGCTTTCCCCCATCTGTATTTCAAACTAGGTGTGAATCCCTTCATTATCAGAGGACAGACCGTTGATATGTCCTGTAAACTTATTGATAACTAGTAATAATAGCCAGGATTCTGAAATTGATAAAAATGTAGAAAATAAACCAAGGAAAATGAAACCTTCAATCAGGTTACATACTAAAAAATTATGAAATAATCACAATTGGAATTTTATATTTAATTCTTTTTAAAATGTAACAGATTTTAATATTCTGATTTTTAAATTATTATTATTTAATTATAATGTGAGTTTTTAAGCATTATCTCCATGTCATTAATCCTCACTTGATGAAAATGTTTGGGAAAAAAGTTTGACCGAACACTCAAGGCCAATTTTTCAGAAATTACATGTAACAATTTTGTCTTCCAATTGCATGCTTAGTCTGCAACTGCTGTTGGTTTTGCTGGTGTGAACTGTGTGTACTAGCAGGCAAATCTGAATTTACAACCACATTTAAAAATAAATTAAATAAAGTTTGTGACTAAAGCACCTGGAAAATCTAACCTGTTGTAACTGACATGTAAAACTCATAATCTGAATTCAGTGATTCCGAGATAAACAACTATGTATGGTTTTAAAGTTCCCAAGGCGGATGAAACTGAGTTTCACTCATCTCACATCCAGTGGTCAACACAGGCTCTCATCTGGTGTCATTCCAATCTAGATCTCCCAATGCACACCAGCAGTTCCCTAACACAAGCTTCAGGACAAATACCTTGAGTACAGGCGATTCCATATGTTCATACTGTGGCTTGCTGTAACCAGCTAGGTATGCTTTTGGTCAGGGATCAGCTTGATGTATCTCAGTACAGGAAATGTATGGGGTGCAGGAGAAAGGCAGGCAGTGATAAAGAAAAGAGGGAAGGACAGAGGGAGGGAAAGGAACCGAGGCTTTACAGAACTCAGTCTGTAGAGAGAACTGGTGGAACAAGGAGGAAGATCACCTTTTCCAATCTCCAGTACCTTCCTTTTGATAGAGACAAGCTGATAAATTAGTTCTGAAATGCTGCCAATAAGTCAAGCTTTTTTAGTCCTGATCATTTTTTTGTTAATTGTTGAGTTTTTCAAACTCCGAAAGGCATGCAAGCAATTCCCTCCTGGACCAACTCCTCTCCCATTGCTTGGAAACTTGGTGCACCTGAACTTTCAGTTTCATCGGGATCTTCTGATGGAGGTATTTCTTTTAAGATGCTCTTAATTGGTTAATTTTAGTCACAGCTTAAAGAAAACTGATATGTTAATAGCAAAGTGAAGTCTTTAATGTCAGAAAGTTACAGACAAGGTGTGGACATATAAAGAACAACTTGATTCCTACATGCAGGTCACCTTCTGCTGTTGAATATGTCATCTTCATGAGAAACTTAACGTCCTTATGAATCAAATAAACCTGGGGACACGGTTTCTGACTTGTTATTAAAGTCAGAGAATTACGATAATTGAAAAGATGCTTCTCCATTGCTGATAAGTCCATATGTGTTACTTTTTAAAATTCTGATGCACTGGCATTATCTAATTTGACCATGAAGTGGGTAATATGGTGCATGGGTATGTATGCTTGTAATATGGAAAGGGCATACACTCCCCATCTTCCAACACCTCCTTAAAACTATTTTTTTGCCACTTGTTTTTAGAGACAGCTGCTCCTCCCCAGGCCACCTCAGTCCCTCCCTCCACCCTGGCAGTAATTCTTCTAATGGTTTGTAGATGACCTCTAATTCAGATCTGTGCATGCTATCTCAAGCATAGATCATTGATTGCAGTGCAGACTCAGGCAGTGATGCTGTAACAGGGAGAGGAAAGCCAGTATCTAAATAATTAAAAGGAAAAGCAAGTGACTAGTGTGATCAGTTGGATGTAATTCAGGTGGCACTCTGGACACTGTCTACCACCTCTTCTGTGTCATCGTGGGTGTGTTGGAGCAAAGGCCCATTCTTGGACAAAGCTTTTTGCACAAATGATTGCATTTCTTGTGTCATACACCTGTCCCTGCTTGAATACCTCTGCTGTCTCCAGTGGTCAGTGCCCTCCTCAATACTGTGAGGAAACCCTGGACTCAGCTGCAGCTCACTGGCACTTCATGGCTGTTGCCTAG